GTAGTTCTGAATTCTGACAGTTAGTAATAGAAAAAAGAAAGAAAAGACCAAAGTGTATGAATTGACTCCTAATCACCTGAAACAGGCTCTGTTCTGATCATCGCACTTTCTGTGCATTAATCTGGTATTTTCAGTACTTGTTCTTTTCTTTTTATATGATGTTGGGGATAATTAGAGGGGTTTTTTGTTGTTGTTGTTACTCTTTGTGCTTATCGGATATCTGCGTTATTTGGGGACTTAAGTTTTTGCTTAGCCGTAGATATGCATGTCTAGTTAATAATGTGAAAATTCACCGTTTTTTAGACTGCCTTATGAATACTTGTTAAGCATTGTGCATCTCCAGGTTCTTTGTCCTGTACTATCGTGAGTATAAAACCTCACGCACTAGCACTGCCAGGCAGGACCAGGTATGGTTAGTTTTGAAACACGGGCATGCTATGGGTTTTGCTTCAGATTTTAGGTGTCCCCAGGACCCTCAAGCAAGCAAAATTTGATACTAAATTCATTTCACTGATTTTGTGACTTGCTGGGTTTGGTTGTGTATGCCTGTGATCCCAGGGCTCAGGCTGAAGAAAGAAATGCCCTGAGTTCAGGAACAGCTCAGGTTACACGATGAGGGCCAGTCCAGGTAGGGCTTTATAGCAAGACGGTGCCTCAAAAAACAAAATACCACAGACAGACAGACAGACACGGAATCAGGCAGGATGAGAGAGAAGGAAGGGTGTTAGAGACAAGGACTCAGGATCAGGCTGAGGAGGAGGGAGAGGCAGGGGTGGGAGGGTTGTGGGGGCATAAATACAGGGAGTGAATATGACTAAAGAATGTTCTATGCATGTATGAAAAGGGCACAGTGAAACCTATTATTCTGTATAATTAATATGCCCTAACCCCCCAAAAAAATTGGATAGAAGAAAACTAGAGGTTATATCTGCATTACAATGAGACAGTTATTTTTAAAATTAGACTAGCAGTTGTTGAAATGATTTCTTCTAGAAAAGGAAGTTAAAGTGCCAAGTGTCTGACCTCTGCTGAAGGAATGAGGACTGTGTACATGTTAAAGGGAGAAGGACATGAAGAAAGGGAAGCCACCATTCAACACTGGGAGTAAGGGCTGAGCCTTGGGCTTGGCCAAGAGAGGAGCCTCTGTTTTGTTTGTGAGAGCTTGTCCCAGAGGGTGGAGCAACGAACCAGAATGTTAGGGAAAAGCCAAAAGCTAATGTTCTTGATAGTTTAAAAATTGCCTTTATTGCCAGGCAGTGGTGGTGTATGCCTTTAATCCCAGTACTTGGGAGGCAGAGGCAGGTGGATCTCTATGAGTTCAAGGCCAGTCTGGTCTATAAAGCTAGTTCCAGGACAGCTAAGGCTGTTATACAGAGAAACCCTGTCTCTGAAAAGAAAAATTGCCTTTACCATTTATTATTTTTATTACTATTCCTTCTCTGTGTGTGTGTGTGCGTGTTGTTTGTGTGTGTGTGTGTGTGTGTGTGTGTGTGTGTGTGTGTGTGTGTGTGTGTGTGTGTGTCTGTGTCTGTGTCTGTCTGTCTGTCTGGGTATGTGTCTGGGTGTGTGTATTCGCACAGGTATGGGTTATGGCTTATGTATGAAGATCTGGGGACAGCCTTGGGTATGCATCTAAAGGCACTTTCCACCTCATTAGCTTAGTGACCAGAGGGCTTCTAGAAATCTGTTTGCCTCCAGTGTTACTGTCCTTGGGATTTACAGGAATTACACTGTGCCCATCGTTTTGTTTTGTTTTGTTTTTTTGAGACAGGTTTTCTTTGTGTGACAGCCTTGGCTATCCTGGAACTCACTGTGTAGACCAGGCTGGCCTTGAACTTGCAGAGGTCCGCCTGCCTCTGAGTGCTGAGATTAAAGGTGTGCACCATCACCACTCGTCCTGTGTCCAGCATTTATGTGGATCCTAGGAATCTGAACTCACACCCTCACTTTTATTTTGTTTGGTTTTTAGTTCAAAATATACTTTCCCAGAGCTGGTATTAGTCATGCAAACATCACTCTCCTTATTGAAAGCTCACAGGCCTTCTAATGGCAGACTGGGCCTTGAGCACTAGTGCCGTTCCCTGCTGAAAGCCCATTCATTCTGTCTGCTCTAGGTAAGGACTTGCAAGTTTCGGGAGAGATATTTGGACTTGCTATCCGGGACCGGGACAAGCCATGCCAGGCCTGTGTGTGTTAAGCAAGCTTTGTGGCTTGAAGCAGCTGTCCAGATTACCTGCTCTCAAAGCACATAGGTAGCTGAGAATTAGGCCCCAAGGGTTCCACTTGGATAATGGTCCATGTGGACCATTATCAAGTTGGTCTGTCATCCCTCCTTAAGGGCACTGTGGGGCTCTAGGCCTGAGGCCCAACCTAGTGGTTCTCCACAGATGGATGAAGCAGTAATGCAGAAGCTGTGGAGACCCCCTCCCCAGCCTGAGAGTCAAGTGTTAGGCCAGAAAGGCACCTGGGCAGATTTGAGGCCCTGAACAGAGGCAGTCTGGGGAGTTTCAAGGTGGGAGTGAGATGGTCAAGTCCAGCATGAGGGTATTCTCCCAGGTTGGGGCTTCTCTGAACCTTTTATGACTCCAGGAGGCCAATATTAGTCAGATGGGCCTTGGTAGGGAAGAGGTTCTGGGAAGCAGTGTGTTGTTAAATGGGGTGCAGGACTGAGTAAGAGCAGTTGAGAATTGGGTCTGTCGTCTCCTCTCCTCAGAGCACACGGTTTTCTTTTTTGTTGTCATCTTGTCATTTGACTGTAAGGGTATAAGCTTGTGGGCTATGAGCTGGCCTGTATTCTGACAGTCTTCGAGTCTCCCAGATGACCTCATCGTCTCTTAATAAGCAGCTCTGCATTTTTCATCCTGTGACTTGGTAAGACAAAGGACTCCTGTTTAGAATCCTGTGCCTTATTTCTGGAAACGGCCCATTTCTCGCCATGCCAGTTATTTCCCGAGGTGATCTGTTTCTTAGGGTGATTTTCACGAATGAGCCTCAACTTATAATGATAAATTTGTTCCACGCTGCCTGAGGAGAGTTAGACAAAGGGTAGTTGTGGTCACCATGACAGTTCTTTCAGAGGACACCACAGTGCTGTGTGGTAACATAGCAGAGTTTTCGAAGTTCTGAATGTCTGTTAACTCTGGCACCATTCACAGAACTCCTTTTACATGGGAAAGTCCGTTTCTGATAATGAACAGAGGAGAACATCTGTTGTTTTCCAACATCACCATCAATAATTGGGATCTGCATTTCCTCCTTTATTTATTCAATAAATATTTAACACCATTATGTTCCTGGCATGGCATTAGACTCTGGGGGAAGCTACAAAGAACTTAGAGGGCTAAGCTCTGCCCCCAAGGGGGGCATAAAGAAAACAGTTATATCTAATTGTTTTTAACACTGAGCAGTGTTAATGCTTCCATCCTGTCATCTTGGTCACCAGGGGAGAAGGGGCCATGGATTCCTCTTGAAGTTCACTGGCCATGTGGCCAATCCAACCCTTTCTGAGCCCTGCTCTTTTTTGTCTTTCCATGGCCTTGGAGTTTATTAGGCAGTGAGTCTTGGGGGACAGGACTGAAGCCCCTCTGGCCAGCCATTGCTCTCTGATGGCCTGTGATTTGATGAATTCCAGATTGTTTCTTTAGTTCCCTGTATTGCCAGAGACCATCACCTTTTCACTCAGCAGGTAAGAACTCTTAATACATGGAATTAATTCCTAGTTTGAGGATATTAGTATGCACAAACATAGTAGTTGCTATTCCATGCAAAGCCAGGAGGCTGGTCCTTCATCCTTCTAACTCTGAATAGATCCCCGATAAATGTGCCCGACTGTATGAGCAAGTAGTGATGGAAATGTCCAGGGTCATGAGCTTAGGCCACTGTTCAGTGACAGCCTTACTGGATGTGGGAAGCTGGTGGCTGGAGATGGAGGGTACAGCAGATCCTTGAAGGGACCCGTATTTGTTTTCTGGGAATTGTGTGTGGTTTGCGCTCTGCACCAGCAACTGCTTGTTTTAGCGTTGTGTGCATAGCATGTGTTAGGGGAATCTCAGAATTCTGTAGAGCAGGGCTTCCCAGATTTATTTGCACATTTGAGTCATCTGGGGATTCTCTTAAAAGTTCCCAAGGCTAGACCATCACTCTCCAGTATGGAACACATACTGATTTGGAAGCTCCTCTGGGGATAAATGCTGAGTGTGCACGGTGGTTGTAGATAGCACACCCCAGACCTTCATTAATGCTACTCGATGGCCAGGTGGAAAGCCTGCTGGGCAGGCCGAGGGATTCAGAACTGTTTCTGTGCTGATGTTTTCCCTTTATTTCACTCTGTGGCTAGGGAGTAGCAGCAGCTAGCCTAACAGGACAGCTTTGGTAGCTAGGGAGAGGAAGGGGGGTGCTTCCTTTGACCTCGAACTCAGGCAAAGATGCCTGCATGATCCTTTGTAATCATTGGTGGGGCAGATCTGTATGTAGAGAACTTGACTGCTCATTGCCCTTAAGTGGATGAGTGTGTTTTTAAAATAGATAAATAGCTGGTTATCCATTCCCCCACCCCACAAGTGGACAGAGCATGGTGAGGGGAAGCAGATCCCTGAGGATACAAATTCTCAGCTTTACTTCTTCCTGTGTTCTTATGCCCCCTGACCTCTTAACAGCCATGCTGATCACCACACAAATGAGCCATTTTATGTGGGCAATTCAATACCCCAGGGTCTTGTGGAGCAGTGAGGTATTGCTCCGCTTAGGGTGGGTGAAGGTGTTTGACCTCAGCCCCTCCTGGTGCTCTAGGTGCTTACACACCAAGGCCAACTGCTGGAACAGCTTCCCTTCCCTGGTAATCAGAAAGATCACGTGGCCCTTGTTTTGTAGTCTTGGCGTTGCTGTTTCTAATCAATTATTTTTTATTGAGTCTATTCCATGCTATTTCCGAGGTGGAGACAGAGTGACTTAGTGACCCTTTCATGAGCTGCAGCCTAAGCCCTTGTCTCTTTCTTTCACAGTATGCCATGCGGAGCTGAACGCCATCATGAACAAGAATTCGGCTGATGTGAAGGGCTGTAGTATGTACGTCGCCTTGTTCCCGTGTAATGAATGTGCTAAGCTCATCATCCAAGCAGGTAGGAACCAGGCCTTTCCGTTTGTCACATTTGCATCGGAGCCCGCTCATCAGCAGCTCCGTGCAGGTGTGTTTGATCTTAAATTGTTATTGTTTAGATCTAAATTAGTTGCACTATCAACTTTGCAGGGTATTTCCCATGTTTGGTTTTTGAATGGTGCCAGGCATTCTAAGACTAATTGCATCCTCTGTGATCCTTAGCATGTTTTTAATTTAGTTTGCAACTTCTTAAACTGCAAGCTGCCAAAAAAAAAACACAGGCATTGCATATAATTACTGTCAATTTACCATTCTCTGACATATTGTGCATAGATTAGGGGGGAGGGAGGAAAATGAACTTCTGTCAGAAACAAGGTCAGCTGGGAGTCTGTATATCAAATTTTAATTTGTATCTAATACATGGTAGATATTTGAGGATCTAAGCAGATCTTTGCATATAAATATCATGAGACTCAAATGTTACTCGGGGCTTTCCTTTTATTATGTCACATCTGCCATAAGCCTACCACGTTGTATTCTGTATATTACACCTGTATTTGAACTGTCACATCTGAGAGGGAGCCTGCACTTTATCTCCGTAAAGCTCTCGGTTTGAGATTTAAAGACTTTAGCACGTTTAGCCAGATGTGTGGGTTAAAGGGACTGTTTATCATGAGCCCCCTGGGTGTCAGAGCAGAAGTCGGCTGATAGCAGACCACAGGCAGCGTGGGTGCCCATGAAGCTGCTGCCGTTAACCGAACCTTAGCTGGTCACAGGTGAAGAGGTCAGCAGCAGGTGCATGGACCGAGCAGTTTGTGGGTTCATCCCTTCTGAAGGGTGTACGGAGCAGCCCTCAGGAGAAGGCCCTTGGGAATCCTGGCTGAGGGTCATGCCCTCCACAGTGATAGCAGAGCCTTTCTTGCAGGCCTCATGCTTCCTACCCCTGGATTAGCCAGCACCCTCTACTCCCCACACTGGCTTCTTGAGTTGAGTAATTGCTTGGTGAATAAAGAATAGTTGCTTACCTGCCATAAAGAAAATTTGTTAATTGGATCAAGGCTTGATGGCTTGACATGTTTTCACTTTGCATTTGTATATTTAAAAAAATCCATAAAGACTGGAAGGCAGATTAAATGCGGTCCCTCTAATGTACTGGGAAGCCATAGATGAGTAGTTCCGTGACTGGACATTGTCTGGAAGTTCACTTGGGAAAGGTAATTAATCATAGGCACGGGGCTCTGTCTCTTTTGCCTGTCTTTTGCATTTTGTGTTCATGCTTATCTTCCACTGTTACCTTTTCAGGTATAAAAGAAGTTATTTTCATGTCGGATAAATACCATGACAGTGAAGAGACGACGGCCGCTAGGCTCATGTTTAAACTGGCTGGGGTTACGTTCAGGTAGGTGGGGGAAACCAGTTTAGAAATACATGTAGCCTGGCCTGAAGTCTGTGGCAGTGTCTTTGGAAATGTGACGGCATATGCCTCTAAAGATTATTTTAGGTATGGAGTTATGACAAAAATATCTGGAGACAGCCTGTTTAATGATTATATTTTAATATTAGTGACTTTCTAAGGCTTAGACTAATTATGCAAGTAGCAAGAAATTTAAAAATTTACAACTTTTGTGCCAGTCCTGCCAAGCCTTTATAAATTTTGCATGTGCAGGGCTCTAGTGGAGATAGTTTAGGATGAAAGCGGCCCGCCAGGGTGAGACACCAGGAATTCTTCTCTGAGCAACATTTTGAATTAAGAGCAGAAGCCCTTCCGACTTCTGTGATTATCTCTGCAGAGTGACGGTTATGTTTTACTTCTGTGTTTTGCCCGTCTTTTGTGAGCAGCAGAAAATTGTTTTTAGAATGGGAAGCTTTGCAAAGTGTTACTATGTTTCTGGCCAGCCGTGGTAAGACTTGTATGATGGGCCACTTGCCCCATTCCTGTGTTCCTTGTTAGAGATGTGCGATATTTTGTTTGTGTTCTGAGACGACATTTTGTTTGTTTTCTGAGACACGGTCTCTGTATGAACAGGCTGCCTCCTGCCTCAGTCTCCCAAGTGACACCACCCACCCAGCCCAGTTGGAAACAGGACTTTTGCATGATGCATGTCTTGGTTTCTTGTGCCTTGTGTGCCCTGGTTTGCTTTCTGTTGTTTTGATAAAACACTGACTGAAAGTAACATGGGGAGTAAAGGCTTTGTTTGGCTTGCTGTAGCATCCTGGAAGCCAGGGCAGGAACCTGGAGGCAAGAACTGAAGCAGAGACCATGGAGGAGCACTGCTTACATGCTCTCTTATTAAGTCCCCAAGTATCTGCCATTATTGTAGACTCGTTGAATCTAAAAACGCAGAGGGCTTATTGTTTGCATTTGTGGAACTTGATTTAGAAAATCCCCCCCCCCACTTCAACGAGCTGTCTTTCTATGTATCAGAGGCAAAAGAAAGTGTACTGTGTTTGCTTTAGAGCAACTCAAGTTGGCTGCAGAGAGTTCCTAGAAAATAAGATAAATATGATGGGGAAACTGTAATCGGATATCATGTTGTGCTGCTAACTCGTTAGAAATCCTTTGACTCCCGGATAATTCATGAACTCAAGATAGTTGAAGAACACACAAGCCGAGCCACCCCATGCATCGTTCTTGTCTTAGTCTTTCCTGCCCCGTGTTCCTCTCAGTATGGGGCACTATAATTGGCTCCTATAGAGAGAAAATATCAAGTGAGTCCCAGGATATTTCTTCTCTCTGCCCTGGAAATACAGTTTAAGCTGAAATAAATAAATTAACTACTCATTGGATAATTCCTTTCTGCATCTTGTTTTTCATGTTTAGGAAATTCACACCGAAGTACAGCAAGATTGTCATTGACTTTGATTCAATTAACAGCCGTCCGAGTCAGAAGCTTCAGTGAGTTCCGACTCGTTAAATCCCCAGAAGAAGGCTCCTCTCCTCTAAGAAGCCGCCACTACCTTTTATCTTGAAGTAGCACATAACTTTTTAATAGCTGGTGCAGCACACACAGACATCTAAAGAATATAAAACCTTAAATTTTCTTTACTGTCCCTACTGACACATGGATCTACATCTGCTTAAGCTGTTGATTTAGTTTGATTGAGAAACTAAGGGCCTGCTCACGGGGCTGGAGTGAAAGTCTCTCCACCTTGGCAGCCTATCTGGCTGGGATGAGGGTTAGAGCAAAATGTAGGCTCTCTAGTCATCCACCGAATTCCAACAGCCACTCCTCGATGCTACATGGGCTAGGACATACAAATATTGCTTTGTGTTCTTAGTCAGGATGAATGGACTCACGGTGATGTGAACATCTGGCCCAAATGAAGCATACCTTGTCACACCCTTGGAAAAACAAAGAGGACCAAATGTGATGCTATCAAGTGTTTGTTGCAGAGTTGAGGGGAGCTCCCTCCCTCCTACCCAGAGATGGGTGAGGACGGCACTTGTCCCGGCAGAGGAACAGCACAACTGAACCAGGGAAATCTCTCAGTTCTTGCTTTCCTGCCACACACATCGAAGTGCACTGCGTCCCTCTGGAGGGTAGTGACCCACCCCTGTGGTTCCAGCTCTTATCCTTGGTTTGTTGGTTACATAGCACTGTTAAATTTACCCGACTGATAAGTGGTTCCTAGAGGAGGCAGCTTATCACTCCCCCTAGACCAGGCACTGTGTGGTGACAGCTGGAGTTGTATGGATGGGTGGTGTGGGGCATCCCCCCCATCCCGTTTCCCCTGCTTTGTGGAAACATGTCATTCCTGCTCCACGTGCCAACATGGTGGTTCATTTCCGAGGGCACCCCACAACCAGAGAGTACATAATTCCTGTCCTGTGAGAGAATATGGGAGAGTTTGTTACCTGGAGGTGGTCCATTCTAGACCCACTGGTGACGGTGCCTCATTTGTGTCTTCCAACAGACACACAGGCAGCATCTCCTTGATCAGTGTGGTTGGGGAATTCCCCGCTGTGTGCTTTGTTTTTAATTTCATTTAACTTATGTTAAACGTGCTCAGTGCCTTTGGTAAAAATGGTTTCTTTATCTTAAAGATTATTACCTTTTAGGGTGCTCTTATTTTTTCATGGGTTTTTATTTCATCTCTGAGGTTTCTTTTTTTTTTTAACTTTGTATTCTGGGGCGTTTCGTAATTTGGCTCTTTACCAATATTATTAAATTTTTATTAAAATTACCAGCACCAAAACACAATCATTTTTATTTATTAAATATGCTCAGCTCACCGCTTGTATTGTTTCTATATTGTCTGCAAAGCACACTACCCAGGTTTGTACTCAGAGACTATTGGAAGTATTAATGCCGTGCTCTCTCCGAGATGGGGGGGGATGCTTTTGTTTTTTAATACAGTGTAGTCTTTTAAAGTTGGGGGGAGTAGTGTGTGTGCCATGCCACAGTGCACATGCAGAGGTAGGAAAGAAGTTTTGGGCCTTCTGTTCTGTCCTTGTGCCTTGCTCTGAGGCAGGCATCTCTCTTGCATCTGTCACTGCTCTGCGGTCCCCCGGAGTTTCACATGCATGCACTCACGTCCAGCTTTTTGCATGAGTTCAAGGCTTGAACAGCAAGTGCCTTCACCAACCCAGGCATCTCCCTGGTCTGTGGTTCTTTTTATGGTTAGATTTCAGTGGTAGGAAAAGCTCTGTTGCTACCCAGTTTCCATGTCTGTTTCTGATGAGCTCATCTGATAGGTCACAGATGGTGATTGTTGTTGTTGTTACATTTCAGGTCCCAAGCCCTTCCACTCTCCCCTTTCTCTGTGACCCTCTTTCTTTTGTTTCCTCAGTTTATTTCTCTTCTTCAAGCCTCTTGCGCTTGGTTTTCATCCAAATATATAAGACAAAAGGAAGGTAGAAGAAATCAGAAAAGAGACAGACAGAAAATACAGTCTGATTTTTGTTGCTAAAAGTTGTAAGTTGTAAGCCCCGTTAGCAAGCTGTAATTTTTGTGTCCTGTTTACAGATAGGTCATGAGTACACTTACTTAATTTTGATACGTGTTCCGCTTTGTCTCAGCTTGTTATCTTGAATTGTAGTGAAAAACCACATTTTTCTTTTCCTCTTGGCGGGAAGGTGGGTTTGTAGGGTGCTGATGCTGTGGATGTAGGCGCTCCTTCTCTGGACTCTTGCTGAGCCTGGGTTCCTGGTGACTGGATTGTAGGTAATTATGTCTTGGTTTCCGCCATCACACCAGGAGGAGTGGAATTGTCCTGTCCAGAGTTTCTGCAGATGTCAGGGCTCCAGCTAATAGAGGGTGCTTTGAACTGTTGCCTTTGGGAAGAGCATTCCAGAAGGAGGGTGTTCTGAACACTCTTTTGCCTCGAAGGCATTGCTGGATAATTGTGGCGAAGGGAGACTGTATCTGAGAGCTGCTGTGGCTGTCTGTCATGGCTAATAAATGGCAATGAGGAAGCCATCTTTCACGGAACTGCTGGCAGAACTACATTAAAAGGCAAAAGTTAGAGTGAAATGATAGGAACTGTTTTCCTGACATTTTGCACATCTCCTCCCCCCTTTCTGCACATGTCCCTAAAGACTTCTGAAGTCCGACAAGACCGAGCAGTGAAAATGATCGAATTTATTAGTCATGTTTCCTAATGACACGTGAAGCAAAATAAGAAGAGAGAAAAATCTCATTAATAAAAACAGACTCCTGTTTTGAGTTATCCGAATTTCTTACGTGCTAGGGATAACTGGTCATCTTCTGTCTGTATCTACCAGAGGATTAAAAATATTTAGGATGAAGCCAAATGCAGAGGCAGACCTATAATCCAAACACTTGGGAGATGGAGGGGGGAATATGACAAGTTTAGGTCCACCCTACACAAAGTTTTCTGGTGGCCCACGCCTTTAATCCCAGCACTTGGGAGGCAGAGGCAGGCGGATCTCTGTGAGTTCAAGGCCAGAGCAAGTTCTAGGCCCACCCAGGTTACACAGAGAAACCCTGGCTGGGGTGGAGTGGGTGATTAATCCTTGCAAAATTGTCCAAGGGATTCAGGGAGAAGATTGTCTTGCTTTTAGTTCTAGACAAATTATTTGTAGTTGATGTTTTTAAAAACAGTAAGGCTGCTCTGAAAATGGTAGCTGGTAATTAGCGGGACAGCCTGCCTTGGGCTCAGTGGAAGGACTGGAACTCAAGAGAAGAGAACTTTGCAAACACATGTCTTCCAAGAATGTGGTGATGAGCTGTGCTGAGGTGCAGGCAAAATATCCCCAAGCCCAGAACTCAGGGGCCTGGTAATATTTACAGGGAAAGCATCACACTGGCTGGCATGAGAACTCCTCTTGAATGCTAGTTAGCCAGTGCTCTTTCAGACCTGCCGATGGACTGTATACAGTGCCAACTCTTCTGAGAGTAGAGGATGAATCTCCAAGTGTTTACTGAGTGCTGGCCATGCATTGGATTCTCTGATGCTACCAACTTCGAACATGCTGATGGTCAGATGAGAGTGTGAGTCTGATGAAGCCCTCCTCTTTATCAAACTGAATAACAGGCTTCCGGCACCTGAGCTGTGCCTTGTTATCGTCTGCTGTTAATGCTGCCATCCCTCAGAGCCAGGTCACTCTAGAAGCCTGGCTCTTAGGAAGGTCAAAGACGTTGAAAAGTTGCCATCTTTGATTCAGTTGAGTTAAATATTTCTGTAGAAAATTGGGAGAGAGATCCCTTGTTGATCAAGGGAAAAGATGTCATCTGCTCCTGACGAAGGAAGGGAACTACTTTTTGGAACCCAAGGAGCTCTAGCCTGGAGCCTTAAACAGAAACATTGCCCTTTTTGTTCATCAGCTGCCATGTCTCCATTCGAGCACTGTGTTCCCTCTCAAGCCAGGTCCACATCTTGCTCACTATCATTCCTTTTGGAAACAACAACAAAACCCTCTTGGGTCTGTGTATGTGTGTGTTAGACACATGTGTGCATATGTGTGCAGTCATGGTTGCCTGTGCACGTGTGTGGAGGACAAAAGTCAGTGTTAGATGTCTTCCTTTACTCTCCACTTTAGTCTTTGTGTCTGAACCTGGAACACAGCCATTTCAGTTAGATTGGCTAGCCAGCAGGCTTCCCAGAGCTCGCTCTCTCTCTCTCACACACACACACCTCTATTCTCCTGCCTCTGCCAGAGGTAACAGGCATGTCCCATCATACCTAGATTTTTAGGGTAGGTTGCAGACTAGTCCTCATGCTCACACAGCAAGTACGGTCTCTACTAACAATCACCCCAATCCAACATCTGGTAGCATTTCTTAGACTCTCAAGGCATGTCCTTTGGCCATCCGTACATTTCTGTACATCTTTCAGAACTGAGCTGGGTTCCTGCCTTCTCTATACATCTCTCAGACCTTTCTAGCTGACTTTTTCCTCTTTGATACCTTGCCACAGATGGTGCCACCAACAGTCTTCCTGAAGAACAGTCTCTGCCACTGTCTGGAAATGTTATTGAAACATTTCATTTCGTGTTTGTCTCTTCCTGCCCTAACTAGATGATAAAGGCCACAAGAAGACATGCATGTGTCACTGCCCAACTGCCTGTCCTTACCATGGCTTGCACAATTGAATCTATGCTTTTTTTTTTTTTTTTTTGGTTTTTCGAGACAGGCTTTCTCTGTGTAGCTTGGGAGCCTATCCTAGCACTCGCTCTGGAGATCAGGCTGGCCTTGAACTCACAGAGATCCGCCTGCCTCTGCCTCCCGAGTGCTGGGATTAAAGGTGTGCGCCACCAACGCCCGGAGTATGTTTTTAATATTTCTACTTAAAGGTTACTAACCCAATCACACTTCAGTTAAGCAAAGCAGCTGTTGTGTAGGAGCCAGATTTTTTTTTAAAGTCGACTTCCTTGTGAATGGCTTGGGGGGGAGGGGCGTGCAATTGTCACTTACAATATAAGAAGAAGAAATCTCCCTTTTAGCATCTGCAGTTAATGGGCACATTTATCTTTGAGAGAGAAAAAAGATTACTTTTTAAATGTCTTATTTTTAACTTCTGTGTTTGAGTTAAAGTGTTCTTATATATGGTTTTGAATTAGGAATTTGGCAATAATGGATGTTTTTGGCAGAGCACCCAGAATGATGTTTGTGCTGAACCCCATCTGATTGGAAGCTGCCTTAACCTTGAGTCACTGCAGAATACTTACTGTCCTGTGGTTCTTTGTTTTAACTCTTGTCAGTGAAAATTATTGCATCTTGGCATTGTTTAAGAATTTAAGGATATCATTTGGTCCAGGTTTTAAGTAGGCATTTTGTTTTGGAGTCGCTTCCTCTGCACAGTGCTGTGGCCTGATTCTTGCTTTCTTTTTCCTTTTCCTGAGTGAGTGGACATCAGTCATGGGTGCAGCTGAACACAGCAGACACCTGACTCGGGAGCTTGAACAGTAGGATGCTCTTCCGTCACACAATATGAAGTGAAACTTCATGTGTTTGCCTGGAAGCAGGTCAGGGGCCCAATATGTCAACAGAGATCTAGGCTTTCCCCTTTATTGTCTCATGGGCATTTACTTGATATCAAGCTTGTTCTGTAGAGTCTAGGTATCTCAGTCACTTTAAATGCAAGAATCTGAGGGTGGTGTGTTTGTGTGTGTGTGTGTGAGAGAGAGAGAGAGAGAGAAAGACAGAGAGAGGGAGATAGAGAGAGAGAGGGAGGGAGGGAGGGAGATAGAGAGAGAGAGAGGTAGTATGTAGTAGTTAAGATCCCATGTCCCTTTGGGTCAGGAAAGCAAAACTTTCCCAGAACCCCTCAGCTAATATTCTCTGTCATCTTATTGGTCACAGCTGGTTACGTCCTAGCTACAAAGGAAGCTGCAAGGGTACTCAGCATTCAAAGCTCTATCATGGAGGCTGTGGAGAAGGGGGTGAATAACAGCTACAAGTCATGGTAATAGCCACTGCATATCCTTTCATGGAAAATTGGGTAGCAGTCTGATTATATGATTTTTATATTTCATAAGGTTTTGTGTAATTTATATTAATTTTCAGACTCCTTTGTGGAAAACCTTATTTTTTTTTTTAGATTATCATAAGAATTTTATCAACCTAGACACATTTTTTTTCTTTTTGAGTTTAGTTTACATCATAGCCTTTGGTTCTCAAATATTTAGTGTCTATTTCCTAAGAACAGGGATATTTTCATACATCATCATCACAATGTATTTATTGACATTATAAATTTGACCAAATAATTTTCTTTGTAGCATTTCCAAAGTACAGTC